TAAGTCACGTTCTATATCATAATCACGAAGCTCGTAGCAATCTAGTAACTCTTTAACACGAGTTTAACAGAATATAAATATAATTTCACCTTCTTAAATCTGTCCATTATCATTTGTCTCACCTAAGCATATATGATATGTTTTAAAGTACAGCTAATCCTGATAAACTAGACTATTCTGTCATTAGTCAACAACGACAATGTCCCCAGTAATTTTTTCTCGAGGATTTTAACTTACGACCTCATTTGACGACGACAGGTGAACAAACATAATAACTTGGTGAAAGGCGGTCACCTCCAATATCTAACTCTTGATTGTCAGCAAGTTAAAAATCAATAGTTCCACAAAGGCTTGTAGACTAGGGATGTGGTGAGAGAAATACTAGACTTTGAAAAACAACATCAAGGCAACTCTCTTTTGATTTCAACATATATCTCAATTTGCAAGCTAGACTATTCTTAGTTTGTCCAGTGTTCTCGAAAAGAGTTGGTAGCATTGGCAACAATGACATTACTGAACAAAAAGAATAAGCAAATAAGCTACTTTTACACCCATTGATTACACCTTCGTTGACCGATGATGAGGTGGCATGCAGTTTGGCCATTGATTTGATTCTTTACATTAGAAGAGCCTGCTCTATAACAGACTCAAGTCTCTCCATTTTGACAACAAATCAAGACAAGGACTAAACGAACTTGTTCAAGAAAATAACTCTGCTCCTGCATTGACAGAGGTAAGTCCAGAGGACCAGGGATGCTTCTGATTCTCGTAATAGCCATGCAGGAAATATGGAACAAAGCTCTAGATGAGTCAATGGATTACCACTACAATGAGCCATTAAATGCCACAAGCATGATATGAACTCAGAATGAAAATGTAAATCATGTCATCCATCTCCCATCTTTTATTTTTAATTTTTCTTTCTCTTGTTCTGAGTAGTGTTAAGTCTCAAGGAGAGCAAACGACATTGAAGGTATAATAATAGATGCATAAAATGAAATGTTTTAAAAACTGGACCGAGCATTGATCTGGAAAAGTGAAAAGGTCAACCGAGGTCGAACCAGTAGTTAAAGATAAATAAATAATAAGCAGATAGCCGTAACTATAAAAGATTAAAACAATCAACATTTTCCAATATTAGAATATATTATGTGTTACTTGAAAGAGAAAGTCAACAAACCAAAAAAACAGTAGGGAAAAATGGTATCGAAAGTGAGAAATGGTTCTCAGTTCCATATGGAAACTTGATGATATGGATGAGAGAGAGAAGGATTATAAAAGGGATGCTTTGTGTGGAGAATAACTGCTTATTAAGCAGTGCGAGTGGACAAAGCTGTGGGTGTGTGGATTTGTTTTAAAAATTCATTCCGTAGTTCTTTTTAATTGTAAAAATTCACCCCTAAAAACAGTACCCATTTTGCCAGTTTACGGTTAACCTGCCGGTTTGACAGTTTTTCAATATGCGGTTTTTGCTGGCTTACCGGCCCAGTTTAGGGGCAAGTTCCTGGTTTAAAAGGTCGAACCAGCCGGTCCTGGCCATTTTGGTAACATTGATAACATGTTTGTCCTCGTTGTAACAGCTTGAGCTTTTGAATAAGGTAAGGCGGCCCAACATGATATTTGTCAAAAAAGAATCATGAATTCAAATTTCATTATCACCCGATTATGAATATTTCATGTGACATGTCTTTGATGAAAAATGAATATGGCATACAAGTGAAGGGGAGTGTTGAAGATATAATTATAATGAACCAATTTGTCCACTCTTTAACAACTCAAGCTTTTAGATGAGGTGACTCAACAAATGATTTGAGCTTTCTTTTTCTTGAAAAGATTAAGATGCCATGACCTACTTCCTTTCTGATGTCTTCTATAAATTGCCAAATCTAACTTAATTCCAATAAATCCCATGCATTAAAGTACAGCAGCAAGGTGCAGAGTAGGGGTGTAAGCGGTCCGGT